GTCAATCACCGCTAGACGCTGCTACCGTCGAGGCTCGCGACGGTTCACCTAGTCTCCGCTAGATGTCTCTTCAACCGATAACACTTAATCCATTATAGTTTATATATTACTGACCAATTTTAAATGTTTAAAAATTATATAAAATAGAAACAAAAATTGTTTATTGGTACAATGTAGTAAGCTATACATTTAAAGTAGTCCTCTTTTCAATCTAAAGTTGTGGTATTTGACAATACTACTTTTTTATCGGTTGACACTCGCAGCGATTTGTTAGTTTCTGTTACAAGACTACCCTCAACTTGTCCGACCTGGGATACGTTTCGAAATTGACTTGATGGTCTAAATTCGATTCTTTGGAAAGCCGAGAATTGCGTCTCTTACCTGAGACCGATGATTGGCTTATAAAATTCAAATTGATTGTTGTACATCCTATACAACTATCCTATACAACAATTACACATACAAGGCTATTGTAAACGAGTGATTTTTACCATCGACTGTTAAACAAACGAATGTTTTGTGGATCGCCAGGTTAAAATGTCCGTGATAACACATTGAAAATCCACTGAAACTATATCTAGGTGTACAATAAGGTTGTCTGCTTGCAATATTGAGCGGAGCTACCATATTAATCCAATATTTTTCCAAAGTCAATGCTTAATCTTTGTCTCGTAAATTAGATCTATACTTGCAGTATCCAAAGTCAAAGGTATATTTGGTTCGCATATTGTCAATGATAATCTCAATGTTTCATCTGATTATCATAAATTAGATGTCTAATTGGAATGTTCTAATGGAACAATACCTATTCTGTAATAACAATTGTATTCCACTGTAGGGTTATTATTTTGTAGAAGGTTCGATGTCTATGTATTGTGGGAAATAAACCCGTATTACTTTTACTAGCATATTAGAGAAATAGCTGTTTCTGTAATACATTGAAATAGTATAATCTTTGATTATACTCACAGAAACTAGAAAGATTTGCCTGTTCTTTTTTGTGGATTTGATCAAATATGCCTTATGACCTTGGACCAAGGTTAGCATTGCCGTAAACCCTATTGCTTAATCAGCTGATATGAATATGGTTATTGTTGGCAAATTGTTTGTTTGTATGAAATGGTCTTTGTTCATTTTCATACGTGACTTCGGAGCGTACTCCTAGTTTTACATTTCCCTGCATTCCAAGCCAATATCCAGCTGTATGTCAGATTCACTATAAACTGTTGGTCCCTTAGTTGTCATCACAGTATTTGTATAATTAACAGCTGTGTCTAAGGAATATGTCAACCTAAGTCACTAACAAGACTAAAAGATCGCGCCCCTCATCCTTCACTCATCCATCACTCATATTTGGTTTAAAATACGCACATAGTAGTGTCCCCATCTTAAATAATTGATATAATTGAATTGTATAGGGTATCTGATAAGTTCCCTTGAAACTTACCTCTGCTTTTAGTTTATAGTAAACCATTTGTTATTGTTAACAAGTCTGGATTATATTAGCTTCAAAATGAAATCTTTTATGGGTTTCGTTATAAATAAGTTGACAAGTTTCTTAGTAACCCCTCACGAGTCCCTCACCACAGAATTCTTTTTGAAAACCTCCCAATTGATTTTTCAAATTGACAAGGGTCAAAAAATGAAGGGTCGGTCAAATAACACGTCAACGGCGAGCGGATCTAAAAAGCGGTTACGCTCCAAGTTTCCAGTTTAAATCCCCTCCTTGAAAGATTTTTGTGTCTTGAAAAGATGACAAAGATTTCAATCGACTTCATTGACGTCGGTTCAATCTTGGGAAGAAAAGAAGTCGGAAACTCACTGATAATGGCCAAGTTAGTAACTCCAGATCGGTCGCTTTCACATGGCAGATTTTTGTTTTATGTGGTGAAGATACATAGTGTAATTGTGATAGGAGAGGATAGAACTATTGTTTATGCGTTGGGAGAACTTGTAAAAATACATAACAACCGTGAATATAATATTATGTTTCTGAATAATACATTTTCTTTCATTTTAATTTCATGCACGGAAGTAATACAGGGTGAGTTTTAATTGTCCCCCCCCCAACTTTTTTCTACATTTTTTCAAATATCAATCCCAGACCACTTCCAAACATTGTTGGGTAGTAAGTACTTCATTTTGACAAGGTGGCCATTTCCGGCCGCCATCTTGGATCCGCCATATTGGATGCAAAATTTTTTTTTCAAATGTAAAGGTGGGGTTGTGACCCATTATTTCGAACTAAATTTTTACCCTGATTACAATGCCGCAAACCGTTTAAAAAAATCTTGATTCATTCTAAAGTTATGAGGGCTTTTTAAAACTTTATTTTTAGCCCATTTTAACATTGTGCATTTACAAACTAAGACCATAATCTCAAAATAGTGCTAGATAAAGATAAGTGTACACTACCAGTAATTGTCGACCTATTTTCACTTGGTTATGACTGATTTATTTTTTTCGGCCGCCATCTTGGATCCGCCATTTTGAAATGTGATAAATTATTTTAAATATGAAGGGGGGGTTGTGACCCATCATTTCGAACTACTTTTTTAAGCTGAACTTAATTCCATGATCCGTTTTTCATTTTCATTTTTTGATTTTGAAATATTGACATTTTTAACAAAAAAATTTCAATATTTCATAAATAAAACTTGATAACAAAAAATGGATTGCGGCATTGTCTTCAGCTTAAAAAAGTAGTTCGAAATGATGGGTCACAACCCCCCCTTCATATTTAAAATAATTTATCACATTTCAAAATGGCGGATCCAAGATGGCGGCCGAAAAAAATAAATCAGTCATAACCAAGTGAAAATAGGTCGACAATTACTGGTAGTGTACACTTATCTTTATCTAGCACTATTTTGAGATTATGGTCTTAGTTTGTAAATGCACAATGTTAAAATGGGCTAAAAATAAAGTTTTAAAAAGCCCTCATAACTTTAGAATGAATCAAGATTTTTTTAAACGGTTTGCGGCATTGTAATCAGGGTAAAAATTTAGTTCGAAATAATGGGTCACAACCCCACCTTTACATTTGAAAAAAAAAATTTGCATCCAATATGGCGGATCCAAGATGGCGGCCGGAAATGGCCACCTTGTCAAAATGAAGTACTTACTACCCAACAATGTTTGGAAGTGGTCTGGGATTGATATTTGAAAAAATGTAGAAAAAAGTTGGGGGGGGGGACAATTAAAACTCACCCTGTATATGGAGCTAATATAAGAATCCATAAAGGAAGCCTAAATAAGTGTTCACCACCTGAGTTAATAAAATCATGCCTATATCGAGGTACAGTAAGTGGTACAGCTGAATTTCGTTTCTAAATTAATTAGTGGAAGTAAAACTATTTATATGGTGAGGAGTTTTGAGACTAGTTCAGTGAATCACCGCTAGACGTAGAGGCTCGCGATAGTTCACCTAGTCTCCGCTAGGTGTCTCTTAAATCGATATTACTTGATCCACTGTAGTTTATATATTACTGATCGATTTTAAATGTCAAAACGATATAAAAATAGAAAAGCAATTGGTTTTAGGTAATATGTAGTATGCTACACATTTAAAGTTGTCCTATTTTCAATCTAAAGCTGGGGTATTTGACAATAATATATATTCATCGGTTGACACTCGCAGTGGTTTGTTAGAATCTCTTAGAAGACTACCCACAAATGTTCCTACTCAAATTCATAAAATATATATTAAAAAATACTGTGATTCTTTCAGAAGCCGAGAATCGTGTCCTTTACTGAAGACCTATGATTGGCTTATTAATTAAATCTAACTCTGACTAACAAGGAACAAGATTCCTTAGTTGCTCTTTTGAGCTCAAGCTGTCGAAATCGTATTCTTCGTACGTAATCACATGTACAAATTATTAGCACTTTCATTCTAATAATTATTTTGACGTTTGAATAAGTTTTTGAAAACCCCGGTTTGCACCACCGGTGGACATCACTATGGTGATTGTAAGCATAAAAAACGCATTTCGAAGTCTTTTTGAGTGTTTCTATTATGTATTCGTGTTTGTAGAAGCCACATGAAACGTGGCTACGGATGGTACATGAACCAAATTCTGGTTACATTGATAATAAAACCCAAACTTACAAACATGTTTTTATTTTAACAAAATATCATGTCTTAAAACAAAAAAGTTGAATTAAAAATTCATGTTTTACTGCTCAATGTCTGTTTGTAAGTTCATGGATTGTTTTTGTTTTCAACATGATGATATGATTACAGGTTGGTAAGCCACGTGGTGCACGGTTTAATTAGCATAATTATTATCTTATTTTGATACTGACACTGTACAAGTACTGTACAGTTGATAAATAATTAATTATATCTACAATTTCAAATAAACACACTATCATTTGTTTAAGTCTATAGTAATGTGTACACAAATTTACTTTTGGCTGAAATTTCTTTCGTGCAGCACCGGTGGCCACGTCGGAGCAAACGGGTTTAAATCAATAGATTACAATTAATTATTACAGAATTCCATTAATAATCAAGTTCGGGTTCACTAGTTTGCAATTAAATGTGACCAGTTACAATAACTATCATATACTCTTATGTAAGCAATGTTTGCTTGTATGAGTGCACTATACTCAATTCCACGTTCACCGTGCAGTACGGAGCGCCCGTATGCCATGTATTTCAAATGGGAGTTTCCGCGCTACTAGCCGTCCTCAAAACATCAACACCCGTGAACCGCTACTGCACTACTCCATACCACTGCATAAACCCTTTTAATTTCGTCTAGGTTTTTATTGGTGATTTAGTAATTTATCACTTAATACCTCATTAACTGCAAAAAAGCCTATAATAATTTATGCACTAATCAAAACATCTTAGAATACATTTTACAATGAAAAAATCAAACTACTACATATTTTAATTATTTTCACGCAATACCATATTTATATTTATGTTGATTAATAGATTTATTATTCATGTTTGGTCAAATTAACTCACCTTGATTGCCAACTGTGACTCATTGCAACGGAACCACTCCAGATTCTGCACTGACGATAGACGTCGAACTTTCGTCTCCTTCAGTAGACGAAGATCCAGAAAGATGAATAATTAGAGGCTCGACGTCATCTTGCAAACTGTCTATCTTCCACATATCATTTTCAATGTCTATTACATGTTTGCAATAGTTCATCCATTGCTCATTTTTGACGGACTTAAATGCGTTGTCAATTAACGGCTCCATAAGCTTAACATCGTACGCTTTGTTGTTGGCTGCAACGTGTCTCTTTACTTGGCTCCAGACTAGTTCTATAGGATTTAACTCACAATGATAAGGAGGTAGTCTTACAATTTCGATATTATGAGTTTTCGCTATCTCATCAATGGCATGAAGGTCAAACAAATGCTTAATTTTTTGCACTTCAGCAAGCAGTTCTTTCTTTAAGCTGTCCTGTGGGAAGGTTACGTTTTTGTCTAGTAACCAATTCTTAATGTCTTCTTTTTTTGTTTTCGTGTTGGGTACTTTTTCCAATTTACGGCTGTGGTAAGACGCGTTATCTATAACAACGACGGTACCAGGGGGGACATTAGGAACCAATTGTTCCACAAACCATTTTTCATAAGTGTCTGCATCCATTTCTGCGTGGAAATCGGCTGTTCCTTTTTTTGCTAAAAATACTAGCTGCGCTCCTTCAACAAACCCATTTTCTCCTCCTGCGTGTACAATGACAAAACGAGGTCCTCGTTGAGTAGGGTCTTTAAGCCCTGTCGTTAGCCCAGCTAAGAACGCATCCTTCGGTGTTTTTATAGTTTGATCTTTCCATATTTTAGATGTAGCTTGACCAACATTTACCCATGTTTCGTCCATAAAAACAATATTTCTCTTTTCCTTCCTAAACCGCCTCATTGATCGTAAATAAGAATGACGCCATACAATCAAATCGTCACGTTCTAAAAGTAAAGACTGTCTTTTACGCTTTTCGTAACAAAAGCCATTTTCTTTTAGCAGCCTCCACAACGTAGTTCTTTTGAACTCAGGAAGATCAGGATCATCGTTCAGTTTTTCCAAAACTGCAGTAAGTGTGGGAGGTGTATTGGTCGCAAAAAATGAATGGATTATCTTCCGAATACATCCAACAACAAACCCATCGTACTTACGTTTTCTGCTGGTTTTGTATTCCATCTTGCGTGGATTCTTTCTTGGCGTAACAATATTACCAACAGCTTCTTCTTTCCGGAATTTGTATATCGACCGCAAACTGGTTAACGTCGCTTCACTAGTTTTTTTTGTCCAAAACGACACATTTTGATCAGGGAAAGTGTTTTGGAAATATTTAAAAACATTCAAAACGGTTTTACGGTCACCACTTTTGATCGGTTTTCCAGCAGATCTCCCCGCCATTGCAAAAACGTCGATTAAACTACACAGCAACACTAATTTAAAAAATTCTACTACACTACACTAAGAATTCAAAAACAAATATTTTAAACGTTTGCACAATAATTCAGAGATAGTAACGAACTATATTTCACTAAATTTAAGACACTGACATCTACACGTCCAAATCGACACACTTCTTCCGCTAAACTGATTTTATCCAGCTTTAAGTATACACAATGTAGCAGATGTATTATTTTATTGGTATAGGGCGAGCGTTTTATTGGTCATAAAAAAGTTATTGCCCCTGGAATCATCAACGGATGTACGTAGTCTGTTAACTGATGCATTGCACCAGTTGTTTATTTTTTTTTAAACACAAGACATTGAATAAACTACCATTTATTTATCCACCACAGAATTTATATTTTTAAGTCATATTTCTTTGACAGAGGCTTATTAATAAAAGAATATAGTTGTAATTAAATTATTTTTTTGAATTATTTTAGTAGTATAATTAGGCTATACCCAATAACTTATTAATTTAATCGGCAACTTGTTCCAATTAATTCATGGCAAATTTTCCTTTTTTTAGAGTTCAAAGCTTAATTCCAATGTAAAATACTGACTGGGGTTAAACATTCAACTTAAACAAGCCTTAATATTTAATGGAAAAACATATAATTTTTATTAGTCCAAGTTAAATTACCAAGTTAAATCTTGATAAATGCCATAAAACACACAGAAATTAGAAAAACGAACTTGAGCGCCTTCACGAGAGTCGCGAGGACTGTTGACGCATCCCGCATGACAGAAAACATGAATTTTACAGTAATGGTAGTAGCAAGGCTATCTCCATAAGACCTGTACTGCACGGTGAACGTGAAATTGAGTATAGCTGTAGCCCGTCGGCTTCGCGCGACACACTGTTAGGGATGTTCAATATTTTATAATTACAATATAATTATTTATTTTTAGGTCTTATACTATAAACCTGCTGAAGTTGAGACTTCACTACAGAATTACTCACTCTCATATGAACAACTTATATAATATTTTTACCAAAAATATTCTAACTATTTTATATAATTTAACTTTATGATAATACCCTTGAACCAAGTTTGGCAATGGCACAGTTGGTTTTCTTATAATTTTATTTAAACGTATTGGGAAAAAATTATCAGCTCTTATAAACTGGTAGAGTTTGGATAAATACGCACGTTTTCTTACATATACCTGTATTAGCCTTTATTAAAAGGAAGTAAGAAGAGAAAAACATTGGTTATTATAAAGCAAAGATTACACTGAAGATTAATTGATATTGTGGAAAATAGTTCCAATGAAATACCGATTATATTACTTGGCTCTCTTCTACCAAAACGTAATTCCTGAAGTACTTAGAAACTTGTTAGCAAACATTGGTTTAGCAGTGAAATAAATATTTAATAGTGCTATTTTTTGTAAACCATATTTCAAACAAACATGTTTAATTAGTTGTTTTCATTTAAAATTGTCAAACTGTCAAAACTATTTTCAGTATTTTAAAGGAACCAACATTGTCTCCTCCACACAATTGCCCCTTTACAAAGCACGGGCACAGTGGCTATTAGGAAAAAATTTGTCATTTTAAAGGTAGTATTTTAGTGAAAATTCAACCAGGTAAATGGAAATTCGCTTGGGCTGAAGATTTGCTGCAGGGGTTTGAGTGTTGATACTAGTTCAGTCAATCACCGCTTGATGTCGCTACCGTCGAGGCTCGTGATAGTTGACTTAGTGTCCGCTAGATGTCTCTTAAACCGATAATACGCAATCAACGATAACTTATATAATACTAATGTTTTTTTAATTGTTTACACTGTGTCAAAAATAAAAACAAAATTGGTTTAAGACAATATGTAGTAAGCTATAAATTTAATGTAGTCTTATTTTCAATCCAAATCTGTAGTATATGACAATTATAAATTTTTACCGGTTGACACTCGCAAGGATTTGTTAGTATCTCTTACAAGACTACCCCCAATCTCGTCGTTCGTTGTCACACTCACATGATATACATTATCAGTTTCTTAACTGATTCTTTAAAAAGCCCAGAGTTTCGTCTCTAACCTGAGACCAACGATTGGCTTATAATACAAATACCCCTTGTACCCGAGTCTTTGTCTCTACCGGCCACCATTATTGACTCGGTTGTCCGTATGCGTTTGAGTTCAAATTTGCAGCATTGTATTCTGCTAATAAAGCCCTTTAAATCGTTGTACATATCAATCTAGCACCTACCTATTTAAGATTTCCTTCTGACTCCTTGCGGGATGTCCCCATGATACGACAGAAAACTGACAGTTCCTTCAAAAACTATTGTTTTAGCATTGACTATTGGATGTTGTATTGATAGTCAAAGGTTTTAGGTTCCGTTGTGTTACCAAATCTAAAAGATTTATCTGTATCGTTTAGAAAATATTAAGCACGTGCGTGACTTTATAGATAATCCTTGTATAGATAATCTAGCACTGTGTGATTGACGAGTGTCCTTAGTTTCTCGTTTAAGCTGTCGAAATCTTAATTGTAGTAATAAAGTTATTATTTTTAAATTCACAGATTACAGATTACATTTCCTACAGTTACCTAACAATGTACATGTTCTCTCGCTGATTTGAGAAAGCAAAGTGGCCAATTCGCTCATCAGCGAGACAATGTTAACATTGTCTCACTCCAGATTTGCAACGTGAAGGCACGAAGTAGTGAGCGCGTAGCATGCAGACAAGGTCGTATGCGCGCGAAATACGTTGGCAGCACTGGCTGTAAATCAGCTGGTCAAATGTTGTACTGTTGTATTTGTCACAACCCTAAACAACATATTAAAGGTTCACTTCTGTGTAATAGTATATTACGTTACTAGTCCTGAAAATAAGTGTTTACCGGACGAGTGTGGTCGTTCCCGTGCGAGACGAAGTCGAGTACGGGATTACCATACGAGTCCGGTAAACATATTTTGGACGAGTTACGTACGATAGTTTACGCCATACTACTAAATCTCTACAAATCCTTATATATTACCACCAATTAAAGGACTAAAAATCACTAGTCATAACCTCTAAGCGAGGTTATGATTTTGTCTACAACCACTCATTGCCAACAAAATACAGTATAATCAGCTGATTGGTGTCCGGTAAAACTCATTGCATAACAGTAGTACGCAATGAAACCCCATTTGATTAAGCTGGCGGCAAACAGCTGTTTTCTGGACTAAATACTTGCGTGGGAAGTTCGTTAAAACAGTGTATTATGGCGTAAAAATATGTATCATCATGTTGGAAACAAGTACATTCCACAAACTTACAAACAGACTTTGAGCAGTAAACATGACTTTTTAGTTCAACTATTTGTATTAAAAAAAAGATATTTCGTTAAAATAAATAATTATGTTTGTAAGTTTGGTTTTATTATTAATGTAACCAGTATTTGGTTCATGTACCACCCGCGGGCAGGTTTCAATTGGCTTCTACAAGCAAGAATACATAATAGAAACACTCAAAAAGACTCCGAAATGCCGTTTTTTATGCTTACAATGACCATAGTAACGATGTCCACCGGTGGCGCAAGCCGGGGTTTTCAAAAACTTAATAAAACGTCAAAATAGCTATCGGAGTGAACGTGGTAATACTGTAATTTAAAATTGTAAATACGACTATTACGATTTCGACAGATTTAGCTCAAACGAGGAGCCAAGGACACTCGTCACTCACCTGTTTACGCAGAGTTAGTTAGTTAAACAAAATTAACATTACAATTTGGCTATTTAAAATGAGGAAATATCTTAGGAATAGACTAAGGAAATAAGAGTTTGTTTCCCTTGTCAGTGGTATTATAAGCCAATCATTGGTCTCAGGTAAGAGACACAACTCTCGGCTTCTTAAAGAATCAAAAGCATTTCAGTAATAAACTTTATGATATATCAAACCAGTTGAGGGTAGTCTTCTAAGAGATTCTAACAAACCACTGCGAGTGTCAACCGATGAATATGTATTATTGTCAAATACCCCAGCTTTAAATTGAAAATAGGACAACTTTAAATGTGTAACATACTACATATTACTTAAAATTAATTGTGTTTCTATTTTTATATAGTTTAAACATTTAAAATCTATCAGTAATATATAAACTACAGTGGATCACGTAATATCGATTTAAGAGACACCTAGCGGAGACTAGGTGAACTATCGTGAGCCTCTATGTCTAGCGGTGATTCACTGAACTAGTATCAAAACTCCTCACCGTATAAATAGTTTTACATCCACTAATTAATCTAGAAACGAAATTCAGCTCTACCACTTACTTTACCCCGATATAGTTATGATTTTATTAACTCAGGTGGTGAACACTTATTTAGGCTTCCTTTGTGGATTCTTATATTAGCTCCATATATTACTTCCGTGTATGAAATTAAAATGAAAGAAAATGTATTATTCAGAAACATTAAATTATATTTAGTGTTGTTATTTATTTTTACAAGTTTCTTCCCAGAGTTCTCCCAACGCACAAAAAATTGTTTTATTCTCTCCTATCACAATTACACTTAGTATCTTCACCGCATGAAACAAAAATGTGCCGATTGAAAGCGACCGATCTGCAGTCACTAACTTGGCTATTATCAGTGAGTTTCCGATTTCTTTTCTTCCCAAGATTGAACCGACGTCAATGAAATCGATTGAAATCTTTGTCATCTTTTAAGATACAAAAATCTTTCAAGGAAGGGATTTAAACTGGATACTTGGAGCGTAACCACTTTTTAGATCCGCTCGCCGATG